AAGTAGATGCGAGTTGCTTAAGTGAATATTTTAAAAGGGAAGTAGTGAAGTTGGGAGAGTGAATCATTTATCCACTCATTTTTGTTTTTGTTTTTCATGCATTCATCAATTCAGCAAGCTTCCATGAGCCCCTGTGTGCCAGACTTTTTGCCAAGAGGGGGACCAATACAGAGATTAATGAAACAGAATTCCCCTTTCAAGCCCTCATTCTGGTAAAAGAAACAGACTCTTAAGCAAATAACTTCAGTGTTCTATATGCAGGACTGCCGTGTACAGTTGTTCAGGTGCTTCACTGCACAAATATGCTCAGCTGAAAGGGCAAGCAGGACCTGAAATCTGGTCCTTGGTCTGCTTGCTGGGCCTTTGCCTTGTGAGGAGCTAGGTCTGCCTGAAGAAGGGGTACTTTTTTTAGGCAGTGAAAAACCTATATAGTCCCATTCTGGCCATAGTGCTCTAGCCCCACATTTTTATAGCATTAATTTCTGTAAACCATTCCAGTTGCTAATCACAAATAGATGTCCTGATAATCGATTAGCTGCCACCTGATTTGGGTTCTAGATTTTACTCTGGGTCAAAGAGACCCTGTGCTTCTTCCCCTTTCTGGACATAGGTCTCCTCTCTGCAGTGTAGGAGTGGGCAAGATGGGTAAAGACCATTCTTCCATCAGCAATCTAGGTGAGTATCGTTTCTTGCAGAGCGATGGTTCCTGCCTTTATACTTGGAGGCTGGATATCAACAGAGAAACATCAGTAAAGGCAGGATACTCTCAAGAGGACTTCTGGTAACAAAATTCTGGGACTTTAAACAAGACAGAAGGGCTGCCTGAGCTCCAGGGTCCAAACAGTGGAGCAGTCCATGGCCCAGTGCTGGACGCCATCCTTGTGGCAGTGTGATTGGAAGCACAGGCCAGTTAGAAGGCTTGAGGGATGGTGACTGGCTGATGGAGATCAACAGTTGGCCTGGGGCAGACTCTGCTTGTGTGTTCCAGATGCTTTCTGATTTTTTTTTTTAGCAGGGCAAAGGTCAGACTAAGAAGTAGGCATCAAGGTGGGGACTCAGTCGACACAGACATAGGGGCCCCTGGGAACACTTGGCGCATTGTTCCCTGAGTCTGTTTAACAACGATGAGTCTCAAAGGGGTCAGGGCTTCCCTTGGTAGCTCAGCTGGTAAAGAATCTGCCTATACCGCAGGAGCCCCTGATTCGATTCCTGGGTCGGAAAGATCTCCTGGAGAAGAGATAGGCTACCCACTCCAGTATTCTTGGGCTTTCCTGGTGGTTCAGACAGTAAACAATCTGCCTGCAATGCAGAAGATGCCAGTTTGATCTCTAGGTTGGGAAGATCCCCTGGAAAAGGGAATGGCAGTGGAAAGAACCCGGCAGTATTCTTGCCTGGAGAATTCCATAGACAGAGGAGCCTGGCAGGCTACAGTCCATGGGGTCACAAAAAGTTGGACATGACTGAGTGACTTTCACTTTAACCAGCTGTGCCTGCCAGAACCCAGGGAGGCCAGGGACAGGAGGCAGGGATGGGAACTGTCCATGACTGAGGTGGAGACAGTATGGTGTTGTGAGCAGAGCTTGGGGCGGGCCCTCTGCAGCTGAGTGACTTTGGACAAACTATTAACCCTCTCTGCAGCTTCTGTTTCCTCATCCATAAAAGGAACACGACAATCTCTGCTTCGCAGAGTGGCTCTGAGCACTGGCAGTGTTGGATGTGTCATCCTAGCACTTTTAAAAAAATGTTTATTTCCTTGGCTGCATCAGGTCCTAGTTGCAGCATGAAGGGTCTTTGTTGTGGTGCTTCTAGAACGTATGGGCTCACTAGTTGCAGTGAGTGGGCCTAGTTGCCCTGCCCTTTGTGGGCCCTTAGTTCCCTGACCAGGGACTGAAGCCCTGTCTCTTGCACTGGAAGGGGGACTCCCAAGCACTGGACCAACAGGGAAGTCCCCGAGCAGATTTTTCTTAAATGATGGCTCCTACTAATCTGAGCAAAATGTGCTGGAGTGTAGCAGAGGAACGACTAGCAAACAGCTTTATGCTTGGCAAAGGGGGCATTCCACCCACCCCCCAGTTTATTATCATGCCTCCTTCTGCCACCACACACCTGGATGAAGGGACTCAACATCTAGCTTCCGAGATGCCTTCCTTTACTAGAGAGAATTTGAAGCAAGCCCATCACTATGTGTGTCTTCTAAAGATAAGCTGTATCCAGGGTCGCTGGATTGGGGTTTCTGTTTTGGCTGTTGACAGGATCAAACAGATAACTCTCACTGGTCTGTCAGGTCGGAATTGGACAGAGAGGACAAGAGAGCCGAGCTTAGGCAGGAATCTCATAGCACTGTGAGGTGCCCATTCTAAACGCCGGTGCCCCCCAGTGTGTCCATGGGGCAATGGAACAGTCAGGCTCTGGGACTTCCAAGAAGATAGGGACTGTAATGATGACAGAGAACCTGCGGCTATCATGGTGGAAGGAGCGGAGCACAGTCTCCTACCCTGGACCGTGTATAAAGCCTCTCGCATCTGATTCTCCTACCAACCCTGTGGGAGAGGTGTCGCCCCCATTCTATAGACAGACAAACTGAAGCTCAGAGAGGATGATGATAGACAAGTCAGGGCAGTACAGTGAGGAAGGGGTGATGCCAAAACCTGAACCCACACCTGTTCTGCCGTGTGTATTCAACCTGGCAAGCAGATTTTGGCAGTCGCACACCCAGGGGGACTCTGAGCCTCTGGATTGACACAGGTGGCTGAGTGCACAGGGGAGGCCTCCAGGGAAGCAGCCCCTGGAGGTGGGAAAGAAGCCCAGGGCTGCCTCACTAGGGTGACTAGAGGTAACAAACAAACAGCACACCCTCGTGTTATACATCCAGAAGTAAAAGAGCTTTCAGGTTAATGTTGTTTTTCATTGTTCACTTGCTAAGTCATGTCTTACTCTTTTCAGCCCCATGGACTGCAGCATGCCAGGCTTCCTTGTCCTTCACCATCTCCCGGAGTTTGCTCAAACTCATGTCCATTGAGCCACTGATGCCATCCAACCATCTCATCCTCTGTTGCTCCTTCTCCTCCTGCCCTCAGTCTTTCCCAGTATCAGGGTCTTTAGCAGTGAGTTGGCTCCTTGCATCAGGTGGCCAAAGTATTGGAGTTTCAGCTTCAGCATCAGTCCTTCCAATGAATACTCAGGGTTGATTTCCTTCAGGATTGACTGGTTGGATCTCCGTGCAGTTCAAGGGACTCTCAAGAGTCTTCTCCAGTTCTCCAGTTCAAAAGTGTCAATTCTTCGGCGCTCAGCCTTCCTTTATGGTACAACTCTCACATCCATACATGACTGCTGGAAAACCATAGCTTTGCTGTACACACCTTTGTCGACAAAGTGATAGCTTTGCTATTTAATATGTTGCCTAGGTTTGTCATAGCTTTCCTTCCAAGGAGCAAGTGTTTTCTAATTTCATGGTTGAAGTCACCATCTGTGGTGATTCAAGAGCCTAACAAAGGAAAATCTGTCACCACTTCCACTATTTCCCCATCTATTTGCCATGAAGTGATGGGACTGGATGCCATGGTCTTAGTTTTTTGAATGTTGAGTTATAAGCCAGCCTTTTCACTCTCCTCTTTCACCCTCATCAAAGGCTCTTTAGTTCCTCTTTGCTCTCTGCCCTTAGAGTGGTATTATCTGCATATCTGAAGTTGTTGATATTTGTGCTGGCAAAAGTTAAATAAGCAGGGTAACAATATACACCCTTGATGTACTTCTTTCCCAATTTTGAACCAGTCCATTGTGGCAAATAGATGGGGAAATAATGGAAACAGTGAGAGAATATTTTTTGGGCTCCAAAATCACTGCAGATGGTGACTGCAGCCGTGAAATTACTATTTGGGAGAAAAGCTATGATCAACCTAGACAGCATATTAAAAAGTGGAGACATTACTTTGCCAACAAAAGTCCATCTAGTCAAAGCTATATTTTTTCTAGTAGTCGTATATGGATGTGAGAGTTGGACTATAAAGAAAGCTGAGCACAGAAGAATTGACGCTTTTGAACTGTTGTGTTGGAGAAGACCCTTGAGAGTCCCTTGGACTGCAAGGAGATCCATACAGTAAATCCTAAAGGAAATCAGTCCTAAATATTCATTGGAAGGACTGATGCTGGAGCTGAAACTACAATACTTTGGTCACCTGATGAGAAGAACTGACTCATTGGAAAAGACCCCGATGCTGGGAAACATTGAAGGTGGGCAAAGGTGACAACAGAGGATGAGATGGTTGTATGACATCACCGACTCGATGGACATGAATTTGAGCAAGTTTTGGGAGTTGGTGATGGACAGTGAAGCCTGGTGTGCTGCATTCCATGGGGTCGCAAAGAGTCGGACACGACTTGTGACAGAACTGAACGGAACTGATTGGTGATGCCAGTGGTAAAAAACTTGCCTGCCAATGCAGGAGACATAAGAGACCAGTTCCATCCCTGGGTTGGGAGAACGGCATGGCAACCCACTCCAGTATCCTTATCTGGAGAATCCCATGGACAGAGGAGCCTGGTGGGCTCTGAGTCCATAGGGCTGCAAAGAGTCGGACACTGAAGTGACTTAGCATTGTTCCATGTCTGGTTTTAAGTGTTGCTTCTTGACCCGAGTACAGGTTTCTCAGGAGGCAGGTAAGGTCTTTCACTTCCAGGTTAATAGGACTCAGTAATATAATCATATTGTCAAGCTTCCTCCTGGCTCTCTGCCTCAGCTTCCTCTAGTCATTGTTGTCCCTCATAATTCCAAGATGCTGGCAGCAAGAAGCTCCACAAATCAGCCAGGCCCACCAGCCGTCATTAGTAAAGATAAGCCAAAGCTTTCAGGGTCTCCTTTCCAGAAGGAGCAAAGAATCCTTTCCCAGAACCTCCTGAGCAGACCTGCCCTCATATCTCATTGGCCAGAATTGAGTCACATGCTCACTCCTATACCAATCACTAGCAAGAGACCAGAAACTCTGTGATTGGCTTAGGCTCACCGCTTCGGGTTATCTGTCCTGGGTCCGGTGGTGTGATGAAGCAGAGGATGCTAAGTAAGCCACGGAGCATAGTGACCCAAGCTCCAGACCTTGAGGTGGGGGGTATATATGCAAGGTTGAGCAGTGACCCCTCCATGGGACTCGGGGAAGGGCATCCTCCAGGAGAGCCGCGGTCGCATTAGAGGAGAAGCTAGCACCCTGGGATGGTTCCAAAGGCTTCCCGCGCCGGGCTCAAGTGTTACATTAGCTGCTGGCAGAGGGAGGTCCTGGCGGTGCTGGAGGCTTGATGGCTTCGCAGTCTGGGCATCGCGGGGGCAGGTGTGGCTGAGGCCTGGTCTGTAGGAGGGAGCCTGTGAGGGCACGGCAAAATGCACAGCCTGTTTCAAACACTCAGCCCACACACCACACACGCGCGCGTACCCGTACACACGTACAGCCTTGCCCGTTTACAATTGTGAGCTCTTCCGATGGCACAACGCAGCTTTTTGCCCAAGCCAAAGTGCCAGGCAAGGCCCTGGTTCTTCTTCAGAGAAATACAGAAGTGTTAATTATATCTTAACTGTCCTTTTGACATTTTCAACTGGACATCTCAGAAGCTCCCAGTACCCACCCCCTGGAAATAACTGGGAACTGGCTGGGCCCCTCTTTCTCCATGCCAGTTTTTCGAGCGGGGTGGCAGGGCTTTTTACATGACAGGTAGCTTCCAAAAGGGCAAAAGAGTAGAAGCTACAGGCTTTTTAAGGTCTGGGCTCAGAGGTCCTGGAATATCACTTTTTTCTCCCTCCAGGTCAAAGCAAGGCATGGGGCCAGCCTAGAATCAAGGAGAGGAGAAACAGACTTCATCTCTTGATGAGAGGAATGGCATGTGGACACAGGGATGAGAAGCCTTGTTGGTGGCCATCTTGGAGAAGGAAAGCTCTCTATACAGAATTGGTGAGCAGGGGTGCGGGGGCTCATGCCCATGCCTGTCTGATACCAAGTCCATACCTCCACATCACTGATCACATCATAGACTTTTCCAGTTGGAAATGACTTGAGATCACACAGTGGTCCACAACCCTCGATGTCTTAACCTGAAATTCCCCAGAAGCAGATCCTGAGGCCCAGTTTGAGCATCAGTGGCTTATTTGGGTGGAAACCCTGATAGATAAGTGGAGAAGCAAAACAGGGAAGGGATGGGAACTATTAAATGAACAGATGACATTGTGGCAACCAGAGCTCAGTCTTGCCAGGGACTTCTGGGAGGTGACATGGAGCTCTCCTGAAGGGGCCAGGAAGCTGGTATATTCATCCTCCCATTTCCTACTCTCCTGCCTAGATCCCATCCCAGACTCATGGAACTGGTGATTGAGTTCCTTTTGGGGCTTGTTCAGGACAACTTCATTCACTCACAGTTCTAGAGGTTTCTTATTGGCTAGAGAGGGCTTACTGCTGGTTACTCTGGAGCCACATGCCACAACCTGGCTGATAGAACTCTAGACTTTTCTAGAATGACAAACAGTTCCCTCTGCTTGTACCCGTAGGCTGTCCTGCCTGGCTGTAAGAGCTGTAATTAGACCTTGTGGTAGACTGGTGCTTTGGTGACTGCCAAAGATCTATGCCTCCTAGTATAGTAAGTCCCCTAAATATCAAAGAGTTTCCAGCCCTAGAGCGTGTTCATAAGTCCAATTTGTTCCTAAGTCCAACAAAGTTAATCTGGGTGCCCAACTAACACATTTGGCTATATAGTACTGTATTGTAATAGGTTTATAATATCTTTCACATATTGTTCAGTCACTAAGTCATGTCTGACTGCAACCCCATGGACTCCAGCATGCCAGGCTCCTCTGTCCTCCAGTATCTCTTGGAGTTTGTGCAAACTCAGGTCCGTTGAGTCAGTGATGCCATCCAACCATCTCACCCTCTCTTGCTCCCTTCTCCTTTTGCCTTCAATCTTTCCTAGCATCAAGGTCTTCTCCAATGAGTTGGCTCTTCATACCACATAGTCAAAGTATTGGTGTTTCAGCTTCAGCATCAGTCCTTCCAATGAATATTCAGGGATTATTTTCTTTAGGGTTGACTGGTTTGATTTCCTTGCATTTTTCACATAAATAATACATAAAAATCAAACACAGAAAATAAACATTTTTAATCTTACAGTACATCCTTGAAAAGTAAAGTAGCATAGTATAACAGCTGGCACACGGGATGGCATCGAGTGAACGGACAAGAAGAGTTACTGATGGAGGTAGGAGTTGGTAGAGCTGAAGGGTCATCAGCAATAGGTGACAGAGGACAAGTTGAAGTGTCACTCATGCCTGATGTTGATGGCACAGGTTCTGGTTCCTTACTGGAGACAATTCTCTCTACCCTCTTGAAAAAATGATTCAGTGATGTCTAGGTCATAGCTCTTTTTTTTTTCTCATCATAGATGACATGGTAGTGCTGAATTGCATTCTGAACAGCTACTGCAACCTTCATATACCATTCCACATTTGGGTCTTGTGTCTCAAAAGCTAATAGTGCCTCCTCAAGTAAAGAAAATCCCCCTGCCATTTCCTGTGTCGTGAATCTCTTCAGTTCTTCAGCTACTTCTTCTTCCTCTTGTCTCTCTTTGTCCTTTCTCCGGGTGCGTTTGCATCCTTGAAAGCCTGCAACTTGAAGGTTCCTATGTACGGGACTTACTGTACTCATATCCTGGCGTGGTCTCTTCCCACATTGATTCTGAGCTTGGTTCCATGACTTGCTTTATCCAATGGGACACCAGCAAGCGTGATGCAAACAGAGGCTTAATAAGTAAATGCTTTTGTCTCCTGCTTTTTCTTACCCAGTTGCAGTGCCATACGGAAGTCCAAGCCATCCTCTGGAGAGAGATCAGATGAAGAAACCAACACATGGAGAGAGAGACAAACCACCTGGACAGGTGAGTGAGGCCTTTTAGGACCTTCCTGTTCAGCCCAGTCACCCATGCCAGGATGGTCCTTGAGCAGAAGGACTTGTGCTTTGTCTGAATTCCTGATTCTCAGAACCTCAAGCAAATGAAAATGGTTGTCGTTTGAAGCCACTAGGTTTTGGGGAGTTACACCTCAATAGGTAACTGAACTAGCACTTCAGACCTTGCACACTCACTTGCCGTATGCATCTTTGCAGCTCCTGAAATGTACTGACTCTGTAAGTTGAGGGAGTGCTTACCCAGAGACACTCAGCTGCTAGTTGGAGGAAGTGGTGCATTAGGGCAACCACCACTGCAAGTCTGAGAAGTAAGTGCATCCCCTCTGGAAGGGCATCCTCTTGCTAAAAGGCCCCCTGAGCCTTCTAGCAGCAGGTCTGATGGTGCGGCCTTGCAGCGCTGCCCAGAGATGCCACAGAAGGTCTCAGCAAGCCCTGTGGTCATTACCCACCAGGGTTCTTGGCCTTCCCCAATCAGTAGAGATTGATAGAGGTCAGACAAAAGATTCAGGAGAGGAGACTTTTCTGGGGTCCCTGCTGCAGCAGAAGGGAGTGAGAACAAATAGTAGGTTCCTTTGCTTGCTCCCTGAGGGGCTGGTAAGGATGTTCCTTTTATGGGGTGAGGGTAAGGGTGGGTCCAGAGGTTGGGCCAAAGGGGTGGCTTAGGTGCTTTGCTCACCCTGCTTTTGCTCCAGGCTCTTCAATCCCTGGGTCTTAAAGATCCCCTGGAGGGGGGCATGGCAATCCACTCTAGTATTCTTGCCTGGAGAATCCTATAGACAGAGGAGTCTGGTGGGCTACAGTCCATGGTGTCGCAAAGAGCCGGACACAGCTGAAGTGACTTTATACATGCTTCAAAAGTGGCAGTTGGGTCTTTTGGTCTCTTTGTATCTTTAGGTCCAGAGTCTGCCCCAATTGCTCATGCACACAGTTATTTTTAGTCCAATATAGTTTCTTTGTGTTTACAAGCATTGCAGCAAAGGGTCCCGGGTTCCAGCCTGTCTCATGGTGAATTCCCTGCCTCACTCTGGACTACTGACCTCTCACCAGAGAGCGAGAACGGGATGCCCAATTCTGAGGGCCTGACAGAAAGAGACCACAGGGAGCCCTGAGTCATAGGCCAGCTCGAGATCTCTCCCCAAACCCATCTGAGCTAGAGGCCTCACCTCTTCAGGAGGCTCAGCTGAACCCAGGTGCTGCTCACAATCTTGTCTTAGAACCAGCTCAGAAAAGCCACAGAGGCTGCTGAAATCGCAGGGCCAATCCCAGGAGAAGCAGAAAACAGTATTGGAGCTCATCGTTCTGTAGGATTGCTCCATGGGTTCCATCGCTGTGAAAGTGTTAGTCTCTCAGTCATGTCCAACTCTTAGTGACCCTATGGACTGTAGCTCACCAGGCTCCTCTGTCCACGGGATTCTCCAGGCAAGAATGCTGGAGTGGATTGCCATTCCCTTCTCCAGGAGATCTTCCCGATCCAGGGCTCAAACCCAGGTCTCCTGCATTGCAGGTGGATTCTTTATGGTCTGAGCCACCAGGGAAACTCGGGTTCCTTTGCTACTGGCATGCAAAAGTCACCACCAAACACAAGTATCATGTCTGAGCAACAGGTTTTGCATCCAGTGGTGAAGGTATACCCACAGTACACGGGAAAAAAACTTAATTCCCATAAAAGTGAGCAAAGTTACTAATGAAAATCTCCCCCCATCCAAATTAAGATCATCAACTAAATAAATCCCCCTAACTGATGAATGTACCCAGTTCAGATTTTATTAATAAAACCTGTTTTCCCAGTTTTATGGATTAAATTCCCCGGTTATTTATTCCCACCACCTTTTCTTCTTGAATCACAAAATAAATGTCAATTTCAAAAGTTAGATGGTGAATATTCATCTCTCTCCCTAGAATAGTGTGGGTGGGAAGCTTTTTTCCTGATTTAGAAGGGGGAAAAGCACAATTTAAACACGAAGTACACATAAAGGAAAAAGAAATGGGAAAATTATTATAAAATAGTCTTTTTTTCCTTTTACTCCCTTTTTATCCCCATTCTCCACTCTCATTACCTTCTTCCCCACAAGAGACTATTCTAATATATTTAATGTGTATTGGTTTATATGTATGTGTTCCTGTAAATGTGCGCTGTTT